TTATTGTAATTCATGTAATTATTATCAATTTACCTTGTAAATTTTATTTTATACTATTTAATTAATGGAGATTATGATTTTGAAAGTAATAAAATGAGTAAATAATTTGATCAATCACCGTTGGCTTGCCTGACGGTGGCGTTAGGAACCATCACGACCTTTAGTGGATTTTGGGTCGTGACAGCTTGGTATCATAGCGTTAGGTTCACATATGTCTCACGAGTCATGAGCAAGTGTAGTAGAGTCTTGCGGATCGGTACAGAGATGTCTGTACTTATCTTCCAGAGGCTGCAGGGTTGTTAGGAGCACTTCCCTTCTTGATTCCTCATCGTGCAATTTGATTCTTGTGAGGATTATGCTTTTATTTCCTTCCTACTCAATCTTATGCGACGTGAAGTGCTTGTTATCACTTGAGCATCGATGAGTTGTAGTGGTACTGCAGATATGGTGCCGAATGTTTCCCTGCATATTCAGGAAGGCTATTATCGTGTCCTTTGTGGAAGGGCGGATGTTCTGTCATTTCAGCTCAGTATCTATATTTCCGATGGTTTTAAGGCTATGCACAAATTGCTATGATGGTCATGCGTTGTTATCGCACGGTGTTGGTGTAATGGTAGGGTTCTTGTTTATGTGCCGAGGCAGTGGATGACTTGAAAGGAGGATTTCTTAGTGAATGATTTAGAGGTTAAGCATTTAATTCCAGTAGAGGAAAGGCAATCAGACTGTGAATATTCAGGCTTTAGTTGATGGAGTAACGAGACTTGAGATTTTCGAGCGTGGTGGAATTTTCCTTGTGATGTGGTGTCATCATCCTTGTTTCAATGCATTAAGGTTCACCGGTGTTATGGTCTTCTTTGATTTGCCTTCGGGTTAAGGTGTGGTGAAATAGTGTTTAAGAAGCGGTTGTCAGAGATAGTGGTGTGTAGCGGTTTTAGAATCAAATCATTGTTTCGAATGCTGATGGCTCGAGAAAGACGATCTTCGAGCAGGCTTAGAGTTGGTAGCAATTTATTTGTCCAGGTGCTACAGAGATGAATTTTTATTTGATGCAACCTTTGGGTAGCGAAGGATGAGGAATGACATGGTGGGAGGTGTCTCGCGGTGGTTGAATTGCTAGTAGGACAAGTATGAAAAGCAGAGGTCGGGGAGTTTCTTAAAGGAGATGGTTTAACCGAAGTGGGAGTGGCAGAGTAGCATATGGATTCTGTGGTAGGATAGCCACATACCTTGAGAGGAGATTAGAGCAATTTGGGAATCATGGTGGACAATAACTAGGTCTATGGATTTTATTTGGAATGGTGCTACTGTGTTGAGGAAGATTGAGTATGGCAAAGAGGAGTTGGCTAGAAATGAATAAGGGTGTAAAAGCTTGATTACAATTTTTAGATGCAACGTGACTTCGAGTTTGGAACGTATTGTCAGACTTTCAGTTGATGTCAATGGGGAAGGAACATATTTGTACAGCTAGTGGACGAGCATGGGCTCAGGAGGGTTTACTGAATGCGTGGTAGTTGTACCCAGCGCAACGTCATTGGAAGACGTCAGCATGTAATTTTCACAGGTGGGTTATCTCCTGCGAGCAGGTTAGCGATTGCGTGATTTTGATAATGTTTCTATGAGGAGTTCTACTTACTACCCGGCAGAAGGTCAAATATGCGATCGTGGCTGATAATTCAGAATGTTCATGAGATGTTTAACAAGAGATTTCGAGGAATTTGGCGGGTTAAATGTGCGAGATCATGGTAATTGAGAAGGAGGAATCGTCGTGGGTTCTACATTATCTGATGATAGCTTAAAGCTAAGTGGGGGAGCCCACCGTCTACGATTAGATCGCGTGGTTGTCTGCTTGTGCGATTTCTGGTCATCGATGCGTTGTTGAATTATTTATGACTAAGAAAAGAAAACATCAGGGGTAATACGAGCAAGGAACTTGATGAATGTGTGTTATACTTTGCCTTATCGATTCAGGTGTAGGTTTTGGGAAGACTCAAAGTTTATGCTTCTTGTGGATGTGATGTACAAGGAAAAGAATTCATCCAGTTGCTTCTTCGGGAGTGTTCATATGCTAACCGAGTGTTGGAGTTTGATTATACTCGGGACCAGGTCAGAGTGGGTGAATCCCAATAGTGATTCTAATGGGTTCAAGGACGTAAGCGCTGTGTCTAAGGATTTTAGGTCCATTGTGTGGTTAAAGATAGAGTTTTTGTAGTGGGTATTGAGATAATGGGATCTAGTGATTTAGGTAACTCGAGATGAGTGTTGATCGAGTTTCGTTATGTTTTTGGATGAAACTATTATTATTTCTAAGGCCGGTCAAGAGTAAATCGGAGGAAGTTGGGTCGGTGGGTAATGGTTTGAATCAACGTGCTTGAGGCAATGATCAGTTCCTTTGGTGTGTTAGTGTTATACAGGTGATTTGTGGCGGTACGTGCGGGATTGACAATCACCGTAATTTGATTGATTTGTTGAGGTATTTTGATTCTAGTTGCCCTGTTATGTGTAAATGGATCCCAGAGGAGTTATGACGGTTTAGACCATGACTCGAGGTTTGTATTCTCTGCAGTTATGGGAATTCAGCTACGTGTTGCAATGGTTCTTCCGAAATGAGTTGAGTGGAAGGGATTCTAGCCAATGAAATGTTCATTCTACTAGTAGTTAAGGGGTTATGATGAATTCTTGTACTCTCGCGTAGCGGTGCCTTAGGTGCAGTGAGCGACATGGGAATTTGAAGTTGAGGATCAAGGTTGCGGTTCAGTGTTACAAGAATGTCGCGAGCTTGTATGAGCATGAAGGAGTTCAGATGTTTAGAGTAAGCTAGTATTTTTTTTAGTGTCACCTGAGAACGGTGTCCTCTGTAAGAGGCTTTGTGTATTGAATTGCGGACTCTTGGTTGGCCTTGCAGAATTAGTGTCGTTGGTGGTGTGGAGGTGCAGACTTTGATACCTGGTGCGAAAGGTCATGGGAGAGTATCCCACGGGGAAATCTATATAAGTGTGACATGTTAGTCACTTGATTGTTAAAGATGGAAACCAAGCATGGAGATTATGGTACTATCATTAGTGTGAGAGTTTATGCCTGGAAGACGCTCTATTTATTTGGTTGTGAACGGTGGGAGTTGTTCCGAATTGAGACTGCTTGATTATTCACGCATGTGTTGAGGTCGCGTGTAGCTTGTGGTGTTGTGTGAGCAGGATGGCTCTCGAGATGCAGGTCATTTATCGCACCTTAGTTATGCTTGGGATTTTTGGCGTGTTGCGCTATCCGTCTCCCCAAAGTTGTATTTTAGCACTGGGCGTGCTTGTCGCCGATATTCAGTGTTCCGTAGGTAGAAGTGTTATGGCTTGATGGGTATGTCCTTATTTATTGTTATGAGTAGATCGGGTGGCACGCCGCCACGAGTACGTTGTTTGGATCGGGTTGCACGCTGCAATGGTATCATGTTTGGATCGGGTTGCATACTGCAATGGTATCATGTGTAGATCGGGTTGCATGCTACAATAGTGAGATGTTGAGTACTGTTCCCTATATCTATTCCTGTGTATTTGGTTTCTTATTCTCTGAGAAGGGTTCATAGCATCTGTTCGGTCATTTTATTCGTTACGCGGGCTGGGTAGTTCTTTTCCAGAGTTCGTTTTTTTCTTATGCATCACATTCGAGTTTGTAACATGTTGGCGCATTGTTGGGGTCACATGATATTTTGGCAGTGTTTGAGATGGCTTATTTCCTGAGAAGCTTGTACTGGATGAGACGAGGTTATTGGACCTGGGATAAGTGCGATCGGAATTATGTGGGGTATATTAAAGAGCATATATCGTTATTTAGTTCAGAATGAGGTAATGGTCCTTGTCAGGAGGAGAGACTCCATGATTTGTTATTTCGGTAGGTGGTTATTAGTTCTACACATCTTTTCTGTCGTGGCAGTATTGCGAGAGTTGGAACAGGACTTATATGCGTCATGAGGTGCATTGCAGGTACTAGATTCGTGAAATTTCCAGCTATTGTGGTTGGAGGATGTTTCTATGGGCAACCAACTTATGTGGTGCGTGATGTGACTTCATCATGGGTGCATGATCATGTTTTGGTACAATGTGTAGTGACTGATGCGGTGTTCGTATGTTTGAATCAGATCTTGTAGAGAAATTCGGAGGTTGAAATTTGGTTCTAACGCTTATTGAGTAAATAAAAAGGAGGATCTTCAGTCTGGCTCAAGATAAAGTGCTTAGCTGGGTTGTGATGGAACGGGTAGGTGCACGAGGTGTTAAACAATGATTTTGGACAACTCCGGGGCAAATCTTATCACGTTCGAGGATGAACGTATGTTTAAGTGGGGAGAATGTAACGACCCGACCGGTTGTTTTGAGCTCTAGTGCGTCGTCTGGCGGTTTGAGGCCTTGAGTAGCTTCACTTCAGGTATTATGACTTATACTCAATGATTTAACTTTGAGTAAACGACCTTGGAATCGGAATTTGAAGGTTCCAATACGTTTGTATGATGATTTCGGATGTGGGCGTATGTTCGGGTTGAGTATCGGGTCGCCCAGAAGAATTTCGACGCTTATTATGGAAAGTTAACATTTTTGAAAGTTTAAGAATTTCTTAAGTTTGATTTGAAGTGGACTTTGGTGGTATCGATGTCCGTTTGAGGTTTAGAGCCTTGTAATAGGTTCATGTTGTGATTTATAACTTGTGCGTAAATTTTGGCGTCATTCCGAAAAGTTTAAGAGTGATTCGGACGCGTTCGACGAAGTTAGAATATTTGAGAGTTTTTGATCGTCAATTCATAATTTTGATGTTGTTTAATGTGGTTTGAGGTTTCGACTAAGTCTGAATTGTGTTTTGGGATGTGTTGGTATGCTTGGACGGGGTCCCGGGGGCCTCGGGTGCGAATCGGATTGGAAACGGATAGAGTTTGGGCTTGGAAGAATTGCAGAGGCAGCTCCATACCTAACAACACCATATAATCCATATAAAGTTCACCACCAAAAAGCAGCTCCTCCCCCTCAAAAATAGCTGCAAAAACGTCCAAAAACAGTTCGAAAATCAGCTCCAAACACCATTGTTTTTAGCCCCGAAATCCAGCCAAAACATTCCCTAAAAAGGTTCAAAAACAGCAGCTCAAATTGCTGCCATTTTCAGTGAAAAAAATGAATAGTAAAAAAATGAAAGTTCATAATAGCAGAATCTACTTAACATTCGTACACATACAAAATAGTAAAAAAAAAATAAACACATTACTTGATAACATTATTCGGCAAAGGTAGTAAAGCATTTCATATTCAGGAATTTGAACTAGTGAAAGAAGAATAAGGTCAAGGTCTTATAGATCTTTTTGGGGGCAACAAACCAATCGAGTGTTCAAATTAGCCTTTAGGAAAACCAAGAGCTCAAGCTCTGAATCAGTATCACAATCGGAATCAGAAAGAGAGGAAAAGCTGAAATTGATCAAAAAATAGACTTTTATCGAGATTTCCCAAACAACTATTAAAATTTCATAATCTAAGTGTAGTTGGTAGGTATATCTTGTTGTGTGTTAGGTCTGGTTGGTGAGAGCATTGAAAGCCCTATTTATTGTGGCCATTGAGCCATTAGGGTTTCAGTAGATTCAAATCGATAGTGGAAGATTATGAAAGACGGATAATGATAGGAAGGAGGGTCAGACTGAAAACAGATGGAAAATGATGAAGAAGTTTACCTAAGAGGAGGAATCGACCGTTGAAGGCAAAGAACCAATGGACAAATCCTAAAATCCAGAGGTCATTGCGTTTGACCTTTGGGTATAGAATTCTCATGATGAATCTCTGAAGAAGCTCCATGCATGCTCCTATTTGACGGAGCATAAGAGGATTTGAATGATGTGAAGTTGCATCCTTAAGCAAGGGTTCCAAATTTTAGGCGTTTTGAAATTAAGCGATGAAACGGGGGAGGTATATGCGAGATTCGCGAACATGTGACAAATTGAGTGTTGTAAGGCTCGGATTCATGACCTTGCGCCGATTTGTGCAAGGTTTCTTGACTGATGGGCATGGAGGGTTTGAGAGATTAGAGAGGAAAAGAGGAAAGAGAGGTGGCTGGTCAAATGGGAAATGAGTAGGGTTTTGGGGTGTCTCAGAGTTAAAATTGGGAGATGGAACGAGAGTCACTAGATCTTTTTTATCAACGACTCTGATTGTTTTGATAATTAGGGATTTTATAAATAATAAAAATTGGAAAATAAATGGTCGTTGGATTCTTGTGATCCAACGGCGGAGATAAAACACAACAGCCCTTTGAAAAATAAATAAAAAATGGGATTAAATTTGATCCGTTGATGATATGAATCAACGGCTGAGATGATTTATGTTTGTTTTGTGAGGGAATGGGACGAGTGATGTGTAAAGCACTTATTGGTTTAGGGATAGGGACGTGGATTGCCACAGTGGATTAGAGGGTCATTTGGACTGGGTATATTTTCGGATTGGGCTTGACATTTAGGACAAAATGAATTTGAAAGGTGGCCCTCTTGTGATTAATTAGAGATTTGCAATTGTAGCCTTTTTGCCTTTTAATCCCTTTTGAAATTAATTTAAATAAACTTAATTATTTTTCAATAAAATGTAGTAGAAATTATAATCATCAAATATACTAGTAATTATTATAATTAATATTTATAAGATACTTTGTCTTCTAAATTATAACACTAATTTTGAACATATTAATCTAATTAATCAGAATTTGAGAAATAATTAAATTAATTATAAAGCCTAGGTGATATGTTTTAGAAATTGTTCTAATGATATTAAAAGTAGTAAGTATATTTGTAATTACATAATGCTAGTACTAGGTTATTAATTTCAAAACTAATAATTAATCAATTTTTTAAAATAGGTATTTATGGATAGAAAATACTTTCAAAACATTCGTTGTAAATATTTAAGTATAAATAAATTAATTTTAAAAGGGAGGGTCAAAATTGGTTATCAACAACTGCCCCTCTTTGACCGGAGACGATGAAAGAGTTTTCGGGCAAAGAAAATGAACCAAAGCCAATTTTGTCCCGACTTTAGGCATGCATTACAAGAGTGGCACGATGATTATGAATTGCAAGATTTAGAGAATTCCTTGGAGGAAATTTAGGGAATCGGGCCGAATTCTGGCTTTGAATTGCTTACATACATCGCGCTTAACGAGGATCATGCCTCATGTAGTTCTGGAGTGAAGATTTTTAGGAAGCGATACTCGCAGGAATTGCCCTAGTATCATATTATGATGATACGGCGAGACGGAGGATCGGGAACTCATGATAGCTTGAATTTTGCAGCTTGATTTGAAGGATTTGAAGATTCGGAGTTCCACTAGTAGTTTTGTGCCTGAACTTGGATCCTTGGCCCACTAATGAGTTTGATGTCTCTCATAGTGTTGTAGTTTGGTTTGCTGCTTTGAAAGAGTTCCACGTTGTGATGTTTTGTCCTGCAAAAATGAAATACATAGATACCCATTTATTGCAATAGATACACATATGTTTGTCCCTCATCTAATGTTTGTTCGATTACAATAGATGCAAAAATGATGATATTAACAATGAAATGGCCGAGTCTGATTTAGACTGCCTACGTATCCAAATAGAATCAGGCCAAAACGTAGTTCAATTACAAAAGATGACTGAATCCGATGAGAATTGCCTACGTATTCCTTCCTAAGGAAGTCAAGTCGGCATAGTTCCAGAGCAATATACAAAAGTGATATTTGGTTTTTCTATTACAAAAGAAAGGAGGGAGAACATCGAACCCTATGTGGGTTGCCTACGTATCCCTCTGTGGGAAGTCACGTTGAACATAGTTCTATTACAGTAAAAACCTAACTCTGTTTGTCTTCAAACATACTATCTCTTGATTGCGTCTGAGTTGATGGGCTCCGTGTTGATTCTTCCATCCATTTCGGCCATGATTAGAGCTCCACCCAACAATACTCGGTGAACCACGTAAGGACCTTGCCAATTTGGTGCGAATTTTCCTTTGTCTTCTTCCTGGTGGGGAAAGATGTTTTTCAGAACCAACTGCCCCCGTGTGAACTAGCGAGGCTTCACCCTCTTGTTAAATGCACTAGCCATCCTGTTCTAATATAGCTGACCATGGCATACTGTGTCTATTTTCTTCTCACTGATGAGCATGAGTTGCCCTTGCCTGACCCATATCCATTCTGCATCGTCCAACTTGGCCTCTTGAATGACCCTTAGAGATGGTATCTCAACCTCTGCGGGTATTACAACTTCAGTTCTATATACTAACATGTACAGCATTGCCACAATGGATGTTCTCATGGTGGTCTGATAACCCAGTAAGGCGAAGGATATTTTCTCATGCCATTGCCTATGATTGTCCACTATCTTTTGTAGAATCCGCTTGATATTCTTGTTGGCTGCCTCGATTGCCCCGTTCATTTGTGGTCTGTAGGCTATGGAGTTGCGGTGGACGATTCTGAACTTCTCACAGATTTCTCTCATGAGGTCGCTATTGAGGTTAGCCGCATTGTCAGTGATGATTGACTCAGGTATAAACTAGTAAGGCGAAGGATAGTTTCTCGTGACATTGCCTGTGATTGTCCACTATCTTTTGCAGAATCCTCTTGATATTCTTGTTGGCTTCCTCGACTACCATGTTCATTTGTGGTCTGTAGGCTGTGGAGTTGCGGTGGACGATTCTGAACTTCTCGCAGATTTCTCTCATGAGGTCACTATTAAGGTTAGCGGCATTGCCAATGATTATTGACTAAGGTATCCCAAATCCGCAGACGATGTTGTTTCAGACGAAATCTGCGACTACCTTCTTTGTGACGGACTTGTAGGTAGATGCTTCGACCCATTTAGTTAAGTAGTTGATAGCTACCAAGATGAGACGATGCCCATTTGACGCAGCGGGCTCTATCGGTCCAATCAGTTTCATTCCCCAAGCGGCGAACGACCAGGGTGAACCCATCACATTAAACTCATTTGGAGGAACCCGAATGAAATCCCCGTGAACCTGGCACTAGTGACATTTCTGTACATACCGGATACTATCACTTTCCATTGTCATCCAAAAGTATACAACTCTCAAGATCTTCTTGGCTAATGTGAACCCGTTTATGTGGGGTCCACACATCCCTGCATGTATTTCTTCCAATAACCTGGTTGCTTCGGCGGCATCTCCACATCTCAACAAACCCAAGTCTGGGGTTCTCCTATACAGGACTTCCCCGTTAAGGAAAATGTGATTCGCAAACTTCCTGAGGGTTCGCTTCTGACAATTAATAGCATTCTCTGGGTACTCTCTAGTTGCAAGGAATCTCCTGAGGTCGTGATACCATGGTTTACCATCTGGCTCTTCATCTACATGGAAGCAATAGGCATGTTGATCCCTGATCTCTACCTCGATAGGGTCAATGTAGTTCTTGTCTGGAAGCTGAATCATGGATGATAGAGATGCAAGGGCGTCGACGAACTCGTTCTGAATCCTAGGGACGTGCTTCAACTCAATCTTTGTGAACTTCTTACATAACTATTTTATGCAGTGCAGGTATGGAAGAATCTTGACATTTTTGGTCGACCATTCCCCTCTGACTTGGTGTATCAATAGATCAGAATCCCCTATAAGTAAAAGTTCTTTGACGTTCATGTCGACTGCGATTCTGAACCCAAGGATGCACGCTTGGTATTCAGCCATATTATTACTACAAGGGAATCTTATCTTTGTCGATGCTGGATAGTGTTGTCCGGATTCTAATATTAGGACTGCCCCAATTCCAACTCTTTTGATATTCGCTGCTCTATTGAAAAACATTCTCCATCCAGGGTATGAATCTGCAATATCTTCTCCAGCAAATAATACCTCGTCATCGGGAAAATACGTAGTGAGTGGCTCGTAATCCCCGTCCACCGGATTTTCTATGAGGTGGTCGGCTAAGGCTTTCCCCTTGAATGATTTCTTAGTTATGTACACAATGTGAAATTCGCTGAGGAGAATTTGCCATTTAGCTAGCTTTCAGGTGGCATCGGCTTTTGGAAGATGTGCTTGAGCGGATCGAGCTGAGATATCAGATGAGTAGTGTATGTTGGCATGTAATGCCTTAGTTTCTAGGTGATCTAAGTCAGAGCACAACAAGTGCATTCTATAAAAGTGTATTTGGCCTCACATGGCGTGAACTTCTTACTTAAATAGTAGATGGCCTTCTCCTTTCTCCTAGTTTCGTCATGCTGTCCCAACACACAGCCGAAGGAATTATCCAAGACTGAGAGATATAGTAGCAATGGCTTCCCAGACTGGGGGGAACCAGCACTAGTGGATTTGACAAATACAACTTGATTCTGTCGAAGGCTTTCTTGCACACTTCTGTCCATTTTGTGGCAGCATCTTTTTTCAGCAACATGAAAATGGGTTCGCAGATTACCTTGCACTGGGATATGAAATGATTGATATACTTTAGTCTACCCAGGAAACTCATCACATCTTTCTTATTCTAGGGCGGTGGAAATTCTTGAATGGCCTTGATTTTTGATGGGTCCAGTTCTATTCCTTTCCTGCTTACAATGAAGCCCAACAGTTTTCCAGCAGGGACCCCGAATGCGCACTTTGTCAGATTCAATTTCAAATTGTACCTCCTTTACCCTCAGACTTAAATAAGGTTTGAATTTTCTTGGTTTCTATTTGACCGGCGGTCTGGCAGTATTGGTAGGTAGTCGATGCGAGACAATGTCGATACTTAATTCTGGCATGTCATCATACGACCATGCAAGCACATAAATGTATTGTCGAAGGAGCTCAACCAGTTTTTCCTTCTGTTCGGCTTCTAGATTATTGTTGATTCTGGTTTCTTTCATGTCTTCTTTACTTCAAAGGTTGACCACTTTCGTTTCTTCAAGGTTGGGCTTTTTCTGACTCTCCAGCCATTCGATCTCTTGTGGGATATTTTCTGGCAGCATACTCTCGTCATACTCTTCATAATCTGGGTCATTTCGCTTAGCGGTTTCGTTACATATCATAATCACGGAACGCGGGTTTTTATCATTTTGATTACTGAAAAGAAAAACTAAGTATATATGAAGCGGTAAACAAAGTTGCAATATTTTAAGAAAATGATTCTTTTTATTTCATGAAAAGAGGAACGTCTAAGCGTTCAAAAGAGGCAAAGGACAAAAGGGTACAGACATGGTGCAGGCCTCAATTGACTGTGCAATTTTCAAAAAGAAAACTTTTACAGTTCCCCTGGTTCAGCATCCCTGATTGTCGGTGTCTTGATGTTAACTCCTGCACAGCATTCTTCAATAATATTCACGTACAGCTTTCCCATTCCATCTATGATATCATCTTCTGGTGCTGAACTCTGGCCCGTACCTGAAACATGCTCTGGCACAAAAACCTTTTTCCTTTCTGCCCATTACGTTCAATTAGCTTTGTGATCCCGTACGGCCTGGCTCCCAACCTTGTTCCTGGTCTGTATCCATATTTCATCATCTCCCTGATAGCTATCTTGCATCAATACGATGACTGCATACCCAAGTTTTGTTCAGTCACTTCTATTTCGGTGGTCTCCATGATTTCCACTGCATGGAAAGAAACTCTATCTAGCCCTTCAATGAACGGAACAACATGCTTCAAATACGTTTATTGGCCCCATTTTCCATGGACCACGATCTTCTTACATCCCCATACAAATTTCATGCATTGGTATAGAATATATGGTACGGCTCAAGCCATGTGTATCCAGGGCCTTCCTAGCATCAAATTGTATGAAGAAGAAATATCCATTACTTGAAATAATATGGGAAATTCAACGCCCGATCTGCAAAGCCAAATAAATTTCTCTGATAACATCCTTCTGCGAACTATCAAAAACCCTTACCCTCACGTGGCTTTCCTTGACTTTGCTCAAATGGATTCCTAACTCCTGCAGAGTAGAGAGCAGACAAATATTGACTTCTGACCCTCCATCGACCAGCACTCGGGACACCACTTTGTCCCCACATTTGACAATGATATGAAGGGCTTTGTCGTGACTTACGCCTTTGATAGGAAGTTCGTCCCTTCTAAAAGTGATCATATTTTCTTTGACCATTTTCCCAATAATTGCGGTCAGCGCCTCACTGGCGGTGTTGCTTGGTACAATTACCCCACTTAGTACTATCAACAGGGCATCCTTATGACTGCCGGAGCTCATCAGCAAATCCATGATTGATATCTGCGCTGGATTTTTCTTCAGCTGCTCCTCCACGAAGTACTCTTTAGTCGACATTGTCTTCCAGAATTTGGCGGCTTCTGAGTGTGTTATGTTACTTCTTTGAATCTGCTCTATTCCCAAATTCCCTCGATTTGCATCTTCAGGAGCGTAGCATCTCTCAGACCTAGTCATATTGTGGGCTGCTACAGAGTTTGTCATTTTGGCCTTCTTCTTTTGCTGGTACGTCCATGGGACAGTTTTGTATTCCCAACTCTCTCAGATCCCTGTAGCAATGGCCGGTTGTGACTGATAAGTCTGAACTGACACTGTAGGTCTAACTTGCACTATAATCATTGGAGCCCTTTGAGTCGGGATCCTTGTGGCCTCTACATTTCCTATTGTGATAATCATTCCTTTAAGATCATATTCCTCGTCCAACGTGATCATGTTGCCCCCGGTTTCGGTGATTTTGCAGTGGATTGTGATTCATATGGCGGAGTCGGAGTGCACTGAATGGTTCCTCTATTAATCAGTGTTTCAATCTCATTTTTCAGCTTAAATCAATTTTCAGTATCATGCCCAAGCACATTGGAATGGTAGACACACCTTTTAGTTGCATCAAAATACTTAGAGGGATACTCAGGAACCCTTCCTTCCATTGGATTTATCAATCCTGCTCTTCTCAACCTCTCGCACAATTAGGCCAGAGGCTCATCAATCGGGGGTATAATTTTTGGGATCCCTTTCTTCAAAATTAGGATGAGGTCATGGTGCATAAGTGGGTCAGTTTTGGTGGGTAGTGATTGGACAGGAGGATATGGTCGTTGTGGTTTCAGGTTGTTTTGGGCTCGAGGAAGGTTGTATTGAGGTTGAGGGTGGTAATATGGCTAGGTTTTATAGACTGGAGCGTAAGCGGGGGTTGATGAATGGTTGTTTGGGGAATAGGAAGTGTTTCTGTGATGTGGGTTGGGTTGATACTAAGGGACGACTGTTGAGGCCTCTTCTTTCTTATTCTTTCCGCTATCGATTGACCCTGATTAGATTGCCTTGTTGGCTGCTTGCAGTGTAGCCATGGATTGTACTTTACCAGATTTTATAGCTTCTTATAAAAAATCTCCCGTCTTGACCAGCTCAGGGAATTTCTTTCCCATCATTCCCATCATTTTTTCGAAGTATATCCCTTCCTAGGCCCTGATGAAATACTTGGTTAATTCACTGTCATCCAGCAGAGGTTGTGCCCCGGTGGCC